TTAAATACTAAGTAGACAGATGCTCCAATTGTTTCTCTAATACGTACTAGTTTGAAATGCGTGTAAATGTTTTATAGGAGAAAAAACAACAACTGTAATTTTTTTACTTATATAAGACGGCTTTGATGCAATCTTCAATAAAATGAACGTCGATACATTGCGCATGGTAGTAACCACTATAAAATCATTAGACCTGAAAAATGCCAACAGAAAAAAAGCACCAAAATATAGGTGAAAAATTAAAGGGACCATGATGGGAAAAGAGAGGGCAAGTAGTCGTTACAAAAAATCCCTGATAATGATAATCATTTTCTGTTGTTTCATGAATGAACAGTATAAAGGACGACGTATGGCGTTCTCGGGTGTCCGTATGATTTCAGTAGTGTGAACATAAGCTGTGCGCAAATACTGCAGTTCGGCCGCTCTGTCCAGCCGTGCTGCGGAAGTATCGACACGGGCCGAGCGATGCCCCGCTGACATTTCATGCAATGATGATGATAATGCCAGCCCCTGTGCGGCTCGCCTCCGGCCCGGCCGGCTGTGCCCTGTTGGCTCTGCGCCAACACATCTCAGACCGCACAATGCCGTGGCGTGGCGCGGCTGAAGAGGCGGCCGCCGCGCCCCGTTCCTTTCGCTGTGAATTACTATCGACCGCCCGGTGCTTGCTTGACATGCTGCGCCTCCGGCCCGCCACGCCCAGGCGCGCCCCGCCACGCCCGAGCACCCCGCCACGCCACGCCCTATAAGACACCCCACGGACGCCTTACGGCAGACTTATGGCAGTCTTACAGGGCCCGGGGCCCGGGGGCTCTGGCCCCGCTCCGTCCCAAAGCTAGCCCGTGGGGGCGCGGGGCGGTGAGCGAGAGGTGCATGAGGGACAGGGAGGGGGCGCGGACAAGTAGAAAGAGAAGAGAAAACAACAAAAGGGCACCCCTAGGAAAGGGGACTGGAATTCTAGGTCATACCATCGCTCAGCAAACATTTCACATACGTGGGCCGCCCCGCGACCCACTTTCAGCCGATTTGGCAGTTCGGACGGGGTTATTGGCCAAACGGTAGGGGATGGAAGGGAGCGGGCGGGTGTGATTCGGGAGAAATACTCGGGGACGCACCTCTCCAAACAACCCCTCCGCCCCTGAAAGCTTTTGTTTGGCATTTGTGAACACCTTTGTGGTGCTGTTCTACTCGTTCAACCGCGCGTTCAACACAGCGGTGCCGGCATGTAGTCACGCTTTACTGCCCCCCCTGCCCCCAGGGTGTAATACACGCGATCTGATCTGAAAGAGTTGACACCATAGAATCGTTTTGAACTTGACACCGTGCCCTAACGGGATGGTCCGGGAACCCGCCAGAGGGAAGCTCGACGCCCTCGCCCCGTACTCAGTTCATCAAACCACGGCTGCGAACAGCTGCGAGGGGATGGAACCCCGATACTTTGGGCCATCCTTGTCTGTCTTTCTTACCCCGCTCGGTCAATCTCCCCCCCCCCCTCGCACGCTTGGGCGCAGGGCACGCTGGGTGAGATGGAAAAGGATGCCTTCGTGCACGCCGTGGGGTCCGGTGGGGCCGGGCCCATGGGCCAGGCTGAGGGGCCCGGGCCCACCAGAGACAGTCTCGCTCGGATATCATTTTCCGATGGAATCCCTCCCCTCTGTGCGGAGCGCTCCAGATTTATAGCCCGGTGTGATGGCCACTGGTCAGCGCCCTCCCCCTCACTCCCCCTCCCTTACTCCGTCACGTCGTATACCACCGCACGTATATAGATATACTGACCTGCCTGTGGATGAACACGACAGAGCCTAGGAGCCTCCAGGTGCCGCCTTGTCTGTCGACGTGCAGCATTCGCAGGATCTGCAAGAACCGGATCCCCCGAATGGCTGACGTCGCAAACACCTGGCCGTTGGAGCCCACCGAGAGCACCACGATGGACGCCACCACCACGATCAGGTCTGCAAAAAAGTCGCACGGTTAATTTTTAAAAAATATTGCACATTAACAGCCCTCACTAACTCTCGAGTTAAAAGTAAGATATGCGCTGTAAATTTCTAAAATGGCATTCAACTGTTGTACGAGAATGCAGCGATGTTCGACTCTACATCTCTGCAGGGATGCATAATGAAGGAGTAACTGATATTATGAGTTTGTCGAGTTATTAACGGAGACATTTTTACAGTGTTTCTGTTTGCTTAGCGAGTTTACACCCGCTGGGTTTGTGATGCCCTGCTTACCGATGATGCAGATGGGCTTCCTGATGAAGCGCAGACGGCCGCAGAAGCCCATGTACTTGGAGCGGCAGCCTGCGGACCAGAGGCGGACGAGGTACTCCACGCCGAAGAACATGACGAGCCAGATCTCCTGCAACACAAACGAGTCGGTGGCGTTTGGGATCGTCCCGAAAGTACGTCCACTTTCCTCAGCTAGATTCGGCAAAACAAAGAAGCGCCTGCAGGACTCCGGGTAGGCCAACCCGCAGTACACGCAAGCACTGCAGGCAAGGATTTTGCCTGCCTACCAGGCGCTATGTGAGCTTGCATAATCTCAACTTAGGAACAAAATCCATTTACAGATCCTCTGTACTTTGCTAGTACAGTTAAAATCACTGTTTGACTGGTGTTTGAGGTACATTGGCTTGACCTTGCTTGAAATGCTTGAAATGAACTTTCCTGTAGTATTAGGTACACTCCACCCCAAATAATCGCACTGTTGAGAAAATTACCTGACCATTCTGTAGTGATTTACTGCTGTAATTTTTAACAGCGACGGTAGTATGGGAGCACGCATCTTGCTATTTGAATTGCGGCAGTCTGGCCGCTTATGAGTTGCGTGACGCAGATGATGTGCGCGCTGTGCGTTTGACCCAGATTGTGGCGCTGCGTGTTTACATTATCTTTCTGTTTCGCTGGGCCGTGCCGCGATATCTGTCTCGTTACATTTGGATCCTGGTGGACTGCCATCAGGCGTCAATACCTGGTCGGAATGCGGGACGGACTCGCTCGTTACACGCCCCGAAATCGGATTAGTCCGTGTACCCCGTAAGCGACTGGTAAAACAGGTGTTTTAGTTTTGAACGTCAGTTGACATTTAAGTCCAAGTGGGCATTTTCTCAACACACTGTAGTGTCTAACTAGGTTAAACGTCAATTGGTGTTTAAACTTTTGACACTTCCGAAAAGTATAGCAGCTGCACACCATATGGTCCCTTTAATTTAACATTTTACAACATATTTTTAACATCAAATTTACGATTTGAAATTTCAAATTGCCAAAGGACATGTATCGACTTGGAATTGGCAGATAAGCAAGAATGGGCTGTCGCAGATTTACAACAATAAAAATGAAAATGAAAATTACCACAATGGTACTAAATTTATGAAGATACTTTTCAGTGTACGAGCCCATGGGCAACCCGCTCGCTTGCATGGCGGCTAGAGTACCCCGTTCGCTCCGACTCCGCTGGCCGTCCCGTGTCTACCCTAGTTGAATGTTTGTGATTACTACCTTGATAGGACCCCCCCC